CCAGGTGCCTGAAGGTGGGGTTTGGGGTTGGGGTTGGGGGTTGGTGGTTCGGGCTTGTGCTCCTGCTGGCAGGAGCTTCTGATGCAGCAGATTCTGTGGCTTTGGCTGGTGTATCCGGTCATCTGGCCGAGGCCAGATCTGAATCGCTCTCTGGTGCACACCAACCCCAGTCTAATTAGGGTTCTGGAAGCCCAGGATCTGCTGCAGATCTGGAAGGATCTGTACAAGGAGGGGTGGATCTATCTGTACAAGGAGGGGTTAGGGTTTGGGGTTCAGGGTTTCAGGGTTTGGGATTTAGGGTTCAGGGTTTGGGGTTAATTAAGGGTTTCAGAGTCTGGGGTTAAGGGTTTCAGAGTCTGGGGTTAAAGGTTTCAGGGTTTGGGGTTAAGGGTTTCAGAGTTTGGGGTTTAGGGTTCAGGGTTTGGTTGGGGTTTAGGGTTTCAGAGTTTGGGGTTAAGGGTTTCAGGGTTTGGGGTTAAGGGTTTCAGAGTCTGGGGTTAAGGGTTTCAGAGTCTGAGGTTAAAGGTTTCAGGGTTTGGGGTTAAGGGTTTCAGAGTTTGGGGTTTAGGGTTCAGGGTTTGGGGTTAAGGGTTTCAGAGTTTGGGGTTTAGGGTTTCAGGGTTTGGGGTTAAGGGTTTCAGTGTTTGGGGTTACGGGTTTCAGAGTTTGGGGTTTTGTGTAATTAGGGTTTCAGGGTTTGGGGTTAAGGGTTTCAGGGTTTGGGTTTAAGGGCTTGGAGTTATATAATTATTTGAGGGCTTGGGGTGAAGGGTTTAACTAAATAATATAGCAATATTTATTAATAATTAGTATTAATAACTCTAAGAATAACAACGAGAATAAGGATAATAAGAACAATAAATCAATAATTATGTAATAAGTAATTAATTAATAAAGCTAGCAACAACAATAAGGATAGCAACAACAATAAGAAATAAAAGCCTAATTATACATAATTAGTACTTAGAAGCCACCACCACCACCACCACCGCCACCACCACCGCCACCACCACCACCACCACTAATTAATTAATTAGACCCATCAGCAACAGCAGCAACAGCAGCAGCAGCAGCAGCAGCAGCAGCAGCAGCACCATTTCCAGCAGCACCAGCAGCACCGCCGCCGCCACCACCAGCACCACCGCCGCAACCACCACCAGCACCACCAGCGCAACCAACACCACCACTAGCACTAATTACAAACACGATAACAATTAATTAATTAGTTAGATAATTGGCTCTGGGCAGGAGCCGATCTGAGCAGACGTGCGGAGACGTCTGGTGCCAGAGCTCTGGAGCTTTCTGGTTACCCACCACCCCGAACAACCCACTAAACCCTAAACCCTAAACCCTTAATTAAGCCCCTTAATTAAGCCCTCAACCTTAAAACTTAAACCTCCAACTTAGGTTTTGGGTTTTTATGACTTAGGGATGAACAACTGTTTTAATTCATAAGGGTTTCTATATCTAATTAGGTAATTAAGGGTTCTGGTTTTTCGTACAAAGCTCTGGAAGCTCTGGTCGCAGGCTCTGTGTTTTTTTCTTGCAGACGAGAGGAACCTCTGTCGCAGAGGAAGGAAAAAATCTGGACGCACTGTGTCTGTCTTGGTTTCTCTCTTTCTAGAAGCAGCCCCTGTCTGATTGCAACATGTAAGTACTTGAGTAACTTCTGCTCAAGCTCTCTGGTCGCTTCTCTTCGGCAAGATGGGCAAGTCTGGGGTGCTCAAGAAGCCGTCTGCCTCCGCTGTGGTCAAGAAGCCGTCTCTGAAGCAAGACCCCAACGACGATCTGGCACCTGCCGTGCCTGAGCCGCTGCAGCGACTGAAAGCTATGTCTGAAGCCTCTGAGGAGACTGTGCCTCCGTCCGAGGAGGCATCTCTGTATGCACCGGATTGTTTCCTGCATCTCTGGGATACTCTGAGTTCTGAACAGAAGGAGTATCTTCGCAAAGCCTCTGAGGTTTTGAAGGCTCTGAAGTGAGCCGCAGAACAGATCTCGCAGGAGTTTTTGAAAAAGAGTCTGACCTCGCATTGCACACGTTCTGGAAGTGTTGTTGCTCTGCAAGCACCGGTTGCAGCCGAGCTTCTTGTTCTCTCTGATTCCCGATTGGATCGAGCTCTGTGTCAGTTCTGTAGCTCCTCTGAACACTGACATGGTGTCCTCTGCGGTGGTCTCTGCCTACGTGGCGGTCTGTGCTCTGGGCAAAGCTTTTCTGCGAAAGCAGCCGGAGATTCTGACCTTGCTTGGTCTGTTCCTCGGCCTGGATCGAGCGGATCTGTTCTTCTGCTTGGCATCTGGTGAGCAGATCAGCCTCATCTGGAACGGTGCCATCAGTCTGCGCTGGACTCTGAATGGCTGGCTGGTGAGGCGACGGGATCTGTCTGTTGGAGATCATCTCTGGCTTTGCTGGAAGAACCCTCCACAAGGACACGCTCTGACAGAGCGAGATCTGGGGGATCTAGGGTTCTCTGAGGAGGAAACCTCTGATCCCAACGGCGAATCTGCTGCCGAAGCCTCTGGCGAAGGTGCCGAGGTCTGGGAGATTCTGAATCTGTCGCCTGCTCCCAGGTCTTCCCGAGATCTGGAGTGATGATCTGCTTCGCAGTGAAGAGTGAAAACATTCCGAGCATCTGTTCTGCAAGGTTCTGCTTTGCCTGCATTGTCTGAGAAGAGCCTAGGAAGAAGCTTTCTGATTGTCCATGCATCTGCAGGCATGCCATTTTGGCTTCGCTAGTAGATCTGCCCAGCAATGTCTGTGGCGATCTCCTCTGATGAGGAAGATGGCGGCGGTGGTGTGGCCGCTTCTTCTGCTGCTCTGGTGTCCAGCGAGGACGTGTCTGAGCAGCTTGTGGCAGCTTCTGAAGGAAGCTTGTCGGAGCAAGCTCTGGCGACTGCAGAGAGTTCTACCTCACAGCCTTCTTCAGGCGAGCTGCTTCTGTCATTCCATGTTGCTTCTGGCAAAGACTGATTATTTAATTCGTTCTGAAGTTTAGCTGCTGCAGTTCCTGGAATCCGGAGTCCCTGGCTTCTTGCCAAAGCCTGCAGCTTTCGAATACCAAAGCCTCTGGCTTCTTGTCCAAAGCCACTGGCTTCATAGCTTTCCCAAAAGCAAGGCTTCCCATCGGGAGCCCCTCCCCCGGAAAGTTTATTATTGCCACCCCGTTTATAATTGCCAGAAGAAGGGCTGCAAAGGGTTACCCTTGCCGGCTTTGTGAAATGGCTCCGTTTATATAGAATTGGAATAAGGAACCGACCTCAAGTTTAGCTGCTGCAGTTCCTGGAATCCGGAGTCCCTGGCTTCTTGCCAAAGCCTGCAGCTCTCGAATACCAAAGCCTCTGGCTTCTTGTCCAAAGCCACTGGCTTCATAGCTTTCCCAAAAGCAAGGCTTCAAATCGGGAGCCCCTCCCCCGGATGAGTTTATTATTGCCACCCCGTTTATAATTGCCAGAAGAAGGGCTGCAAAGGGTTACCCTTGCCGGCTTTGTGAAATGGCTCCGTTTATATAGAATTGGAATAAGGAGCCGACCTCAAGTTTAGCTGCTGCAGTTCCTGGAATCCGGAGTCCCTGGCTTCTTGCCAAAGCCTGCAGCTTTCGAATACCAAAGCCTCTGTCTTTTTACTAACATCACGTCTTTGCCAGTTGACATAATGACTGTCTATTTACTGATATGTTTTCATGCAAGTGACAAGCGTTCTTGTTTCTAGATTCAACCGCAGCAGGTTCTGGAAAGCAGAAGAGACTGCTGCACTTCTGGAAGCCCGAGCACCCTCTAGCAGAGAAGCCTCCTCTGGAGAAGGAAGCTCAGCCCAAGGGCAGGCCACTGTCCGCTGCCATGAAGCAAATTCTGGCAGAAGTGGCAAGAGAGTCTGTTGTAGAACAGACTGACGAAGAAGCCCGTCTGGAAGCTCAGCGACGCTACGCGAAGAAGAAGAACACTGGCAGACCAAAGAATCTGCCTGGAGCTCCTTCTAAGAAGCGCTCTGCACAGATGCCTCTGGCAGTGCAAGCCCGTGTTCTGAAGCAGATGAAGACAGAGATGCCTGGCTTTAGTTCTGAGCAGGACTTCGCTGCAAGCATGAGCCGGAAACTTGGTCTGGACAAGAAGTACGTGAAGAAGCTCTGGGCTAGAAGAGAAAACGTTCTCTTGCAACAGTCTGAGCGGAACTTTTCTGTGCTCCCTGGCAAGCACCTCTCTGCCAGGTCTGGTAAGGGCCGTGCGAAGGTTACTGCCAGAAAAAGTGGGCAAGGCTTCCGTCTGACAGGAGCTGGCCGCAAGACAGAGTTTTCTGCCGTGAAGACCGCTCTGCGGAACTGGTTCGAGGAGTCTCGTGCTTACGGGCACTCTGTGAAGAAGCGGCATCTGCTGTCGCAGTGGCAGCTTCTGGTGAGCAAGGAGCTTCTGAAGCTCAAGTCTGCGAAGAGTGCCTCTGCAGACTCCTTCGAGCGGGCTCGTCTGGATCAAAAGATCTCTGAAGGCGAGAAGCAGCTGCAGTCTGCTGCGAAAGATTCTGGCAAGAACCGTCTGAGGCAGCTGTTGCTGGATGTCGGTGCCAAGAATCTGCAGCCGGATCTGAAGACGAAGCTGTCTGAGTCTGAGGAGATGGTCTCTGCGAAGCTCACTTACCAGAGTCTGGACCGCACTCTGTGGACAGCCTGCTTCGCACCTCTGGAGGATCTGGCGACCAGGGTTGCCAAGCCCTCTGAGTTCAGAGAGCATGTCTCTGATTTGGTCGTGATCTGCTCCGACCAAATCCCTCTGTGGATAAAGTCTGGCAGCGAGCGAGAGCTCTTTGCTGAGTGGGAGCACAACCCTCTGCCCCAGCAGCATCTGCGAGAGGCTCTGAAGAATCACCATCTGTCCTCCTCTGACCAGGTGAAGTCTGGCGATCTGGTGGCACCTCTGCTGCAGGCTGTGCTGAAGCTGGCCGTGTTTCTGGTCAGAGGCAGAAGAGGGCCTTTCTGGACGCGGACTCTGTGCGCTACCGTGTCACCTACGAGGCCAGGCAAGCGCTGTACGGCCTCTGCAAAGACCCTGCTCTGGAGGGCGAGTCTGGTTTGAGCGGGCAAGTTCTGCCTGGTCTTCTGGTGGTGCACGGCTCTCACGCTCGTCTGAACAACATCGACAGCTCTGGTCGATTTCTGCGAGACGAGACGCTTGAGTTCTCTGGCAAGGTGATCTGCCGCAAAGCAGGCTCTTCTGCTGGCAATCTGCTCCGTGGCTGGAGGCAGGCTCGGGACAAGGATCCTTCTCTGTTTCGCCAGATCAGTCTGATGAGCCAGCCCTCTGCGAATGTGGATGGCATCATCTTCGCGGAGCTGGCTGCTCTGGCACCTGCCTCTGTCCATGTCCGCGACTGCTTCGCGGCGGCCTGGTCTGTCTCTGGGGCAGAGTCTCTGTTCTACTCGCAGAGTCTGCAGACGGTCATTGGACCGAAACTGACTGCGAGTCTGCAACTGACTGACACAGACTATGCCAGATCTTTCAAAAGTCTGGCAAGGTCTGCCATGGACGACCTGAGGCTGCTCTAATCATTTTGTTTTTGCTTCCCTTCTCTGATGTCCGGTTTAATTACACTGTCCTAAACCATACGTGCCTGCAGGCATGCCGGTCAGACTGCTCTGCTGGCAGCTGGCGGGAAGGAGTTCTGGCGAGCGAGCCATCTGGACATGGCGACGGCTGTGGTGCAAGCTCAGACGAAGATGTCTGAGAGACAGGCCTCCAAAGACTGGATCGTGTCTGGTCTTCGCCGCAACGGTCTGCTGGCTTACAGACCGGACTTCTCCAAGCAGACTCTGGTGCCTCTGAAAGACGAAGACTGCTGCGGCGCCTCCATGGGCCGCTCTGCTCTCCTCTATTTTTCCAGCTTCAAGTAATCTCTAGCTTTTTTTATCCTCGACATGTTGGCAGCCGAGGTTCTGCAAGGACGAAGCCAGCCTGGCTGAAGGACCGCTACTCCTGGCTGGATGCATCTGGCATTCCAGCCCAGCCGGACTGGTCTGCTCTGCACGGAGCCAAAGTCGTGGCGGATCTGGTGGAATGGAGCTACCACCAGTCGGACTCGCAGGACGAGGCTCTGGAAAGCCAGGTCTCCGAGGCCCTTCTGAACGTGCACGAGATGCCACTGGATCTGCAGCTCCCCTGCATCGAATCTGGCGTCCTGACACTTTCTCTGGACCTGCAACGTGCAGCCTGGCAGAAGCAGCTCTCTGCGGACAAAGACATTCTGCAGAAGAAAGCTGTCAAGCGAGACGTGAAGCAGATGATCACTCTGGCCAAGCGGAAGCTTCGAGGAAAGCTTCTGGAAGCCATGAGGCATCGTCTGACACAGATGTCCCGACAGCAAGCTTTGCAACGTCTGGTGTCGAGAGCCTCTGAGAAGAAGCCCTCTGTCGTGAAGAAGGCCGTTTTGAAGCAGAAGAAAAAGACGGCCCTGGCCCACGCTGCGAAGGCCCTGGCGAAGGCCAAGGCTCTGGACGACAAGCCCTCCGGCGACTCTGCTTTGGTGCCTGGCCCTGCTCCTGCTGACCCCGTCTCTGAGAAGGCCTCTGAGCTGAAGGAGGCAACGAAGGGCCCTCTCTACGGCCGAGTCTGCAGGATTCTGCGAGAGCACCACACCTGTGGCAAGTCTGGCAAGTGCTCTATGCACAACCTTCTGACGAACCAGGTGTCTCTGCTTGGCCACTGAGTCGCATTTATTTTCTTCAATAATTAAGACAGTTTCTGTTTCATTGTCTGCTCAGGTGTAGGGGATGGCTGTGCCACCGTGATCCTCTCTGACAAGGAGGTCTGCGAGGTGGATCCACTGTGGCAGACTCCGAAGAAGTGGAAGAACATGCGCCTGAAGAGGGATCTGAAGCAAAGCATTTTGCGAGCTTGCGGTGGCTCTAGCCTCTTTTTGGAGGCTTCTGGTGGGTTCTTTGCTCCACAGCCTGTGGAACTGCTGAAGTTCAAGAAGTCTTACCCGCAGATGCTTCTGGACCAGCATCTTCGGTACGGCTGGGAACTTCTGCGGTACAATCTGAGCGACTCCGACGAGAACTGGTTCCTGGAGAACAAGATCTGCATGGTGGACCCGAAGCTCTCTGGGCAGCTCCTCGCCGAAGACCACGACCGCCCCGAGCTTCTGCAGACTGCTCTGGACAGACTTCGTTCTGAGAACAAGCTGCTGTTCGTGCCTGTCTGGGGGCACTCGCCGAACCACTGGACCCTTCTGGTCCTGCAGCGGGAAGACCTCTCGGAAAGCTTCTCTGTGAAGTACCTGGACAGCCTGTCTGAGAAGCACGAGGAGTGCTCTGTGAACGCTGCCAGGCTTCTGTCTCTGCTTCTGCCGGCAGAGACTCTGCCAGAGAGAAGCTCCTCTGGCACCCAGAAGTCTGACGAGTGCGGCTTCTGGGTTCTGGCCAACATGCTCTCGATCTGCTCGGGCCTGCTTCTGGAAGGACCCTGTGCTCGTGGGTCTCGCGGGAAGCTGGTTCTGGAGCTCATGTCTGAGCTGAAAGGCTTTCTGGCGCAGCTGTCTGGCGAGCAGTCTAAGCTGGACAAGGAGCTTCTGGGCAAGGAGAAGGATCTGGAGAAGACTCTGAAGGCCAACCGGATCCTGAGAAGCTGGCTGCGAAGTCTGGCAAGGACGCTGCCTCTGTTCTCAAGCTTCAGAATCTGACGCCTCTGATCTGTCTGAGGAGGACAAGTCTCGGATCGAGACTGTCCGTCTGACAGGTCTGGGCGTCTGTTCAAGATGCCACTGGCAAAGTGGTTGTCTGGACTGTGATCCTGCGAAGCTGGAGCGGTATCTGCTGAATAGACTGCGTCTGGAGCTGGGTCTGCCACCTAAGGCAGCCTGAATTCTTCTGTTTCACAGCTCTCTGGATGCCATTGGATCTGCCGAGGGGTGGAGTGAAACAGTCTGGAACTGCACTCTGCGAGCTTTTAGTTCAGTGTCGTCTGTGCCGATTTGCACTCTGCTGGCTGGGTTTAGGGTCCTCTTTGTTTGAGTCTCTGCTAAATACGTAGCCTCGTCTGTAGAATTTTGGGGATTTCTGAGACCGAATATTTTAATTGTCACCCCGTTTATTATTGCGACTGGAAAATTATGATCAGTTGTTTGGCCAAATCTGCCCTTGCCTTTAAACTCCTCTTGCGCCCGGAAATTCTGGGCCGCGGAATATTTTTAATTGTCACCCGGTTTAATAAAACCACTCTTACATTAGTAGTAGTAGTAGTAGTAGTAGTAGTAGTAGTAGTAGTAGTAGTAGTAGTAGTAGTAGTAGTAGTAGTAGTAGTAGTAGTAGTAGTAGTAGTACTACCCTGCCATTGATGGTCGGCGGATTGAGGTCGTCGCAAACGGCCTGCCGCCGCTGTGGCGCGGGGCCCAAATCGCGGTTGACACGACGTTGGTCAGCCCCGTCCAGCGCGACGGGCGCGCGCGCGACCCAGGTCCAGCGCTGGCATTTCAACAAGCCAAGACGCGCAAGCTCCGCACGTACCCCGAGCTCCAGCCAGGCGGGCACGGACGTTGTCGCTTGGCTTGGTGGTCTTCGGACTCGAGGTATAGGCGGGCGCTTCGACAGCCAAGCGTTGGCTGACCCTGCGTCCCGAGCGCTGCTGCTGTCGCAAGGTGGCGATGCCGCGAGCTGTGCCTTCACGGCCTTCCCTATGAGCGCCGACACCCGAGTACCGGACGCGGAGTTCCGAGTGATGCTGCTCCGCAGACTCCGCCTGCCCCTCCCGCTCGCCTCGAACGCTGCGCTTGCGGGGGACTCGTGGACGCATACGGCGACCACCGGTCGGCCTGCGCACAGGTGGGTGTCCTGGCGCGACGAGCTGGCCCCTTGGAGCGGGCAGCGGCTCGCATCTGCAGGGAGGCGGTGCCCGCGTCGCCCTCGGAGACCTCAACCTCGACGTGCCCACGAGCGACGGACGCCGCATCGAGGTGGTCGCCAACAGCCTCCCCCTATGGCAGGGCGCCCAAGTCGCCGTTGACGCAACCCTTGTAAGCCCGGTCCGCCGGGATGGCCAGCCCCGCCCGCGGGCTGACCAGCAACCGGGCCTCGCCTTGGCACAAGCAGTCGACCGCAAACGCCGGACTTACCCTGAACTGAGACAAGCCCGGCGCTGCCGACTGGTCGTGTTCGGCGTCAAAATCGGAGGGCGCATCAGCCCGAACACGCTCACCTTCTTGCGACTGCTCGCGAAGGCGCGGGCCCGCCAAAGGGCGCCGTCGGCGCCGTGGTGTGCGGTCGGAGCGCAGCGAGCCATGACGCACCGCTGGACGGCGCTTGCATCGTTCGCCGCCCTACGCGCGCATGCGTGCTCATTGCTCGAGCTACCCATCGCGGGGCCTGGTGACCCAACGGACTGGAACCCCCACTCGGGGAGCTCCTGGCGGGCCACCAGCCCCCGGCGCCTAGTCGACTCTGAGCGCGCAACGCGGGGTGCCAGACGGCCCCGCACACAGTAGGCTGACTCGGGACTTTCTTCGCTGTCGTAGAAAGGCGCGAAAAACTAGAAGACAATTGGCCCGAAAGCATCATCAGCGAAGAGTGTTACGCTACGTCATAGAATCCAGTGTATAGGGTCATAGAGTCACCGAGTCAAAAGCACGGAGTCACAGAGTCGGAGTGTCACATACAGTCAAGAGTCGTACAAGTCATAGTTCATAGAGTCATCGAGAAATAGAGTCGAGTACATGTCAAGCACAAGTCATAGTTCAAAGAGTCATAGAGTCATATAGAGTCATAGAGTCACAGTGAGACAGAATCATAGAGTCATAGTGTTATAGAGTCATAGCGTCAGAGTGAGAAAGAGTCATAGAGTCATGGAGTCATCTATGTACCACGCACTTGACTTGATGTAGTTCACTCTATGAACACTAATGTTCAGGTTTAGCGGGTTTAGAGTATAGTCCAACATGACGCAGAAGTCTTCCTTTCCTAGCTCCGGAACCTCACTATATAGACATCCCTGATTACTGTGGTTTCAACGTGACTCTATGACTCTATGCATGGTCACTTTATGTCGCAGCAGTAGTAGTAGTAGTAGTAGTAGTAGCAGTAGCAGTAGTACTAGCAGTACCAGTACTAGTAGTAGTGATAGTAGTGGTAGTCGTAGTAGTTGTAGTAGTAGTCGTCGTCGCGTAGTCGCAGTCGTGGTCGTAGTAGTAGTAGTAGTAGTTGTAGTTGTTGTTGTGGTACTAGTAGTAGTAGTAGTAGTAGTAGCAGTAGTAGCAGTAGCAGTAGTAGTGGTAGTAGTAGTGGTAGTAGTAGTAGTAGTAGTAGTAGTACTAGTAGTAATAGCAGTAGTAGTAGTAGTAGTAGTAGTAGTAGTAGTAGTATTCTTTTGTAGTAGTGGTAGTAGTAGCAGTAGTAGTAGTAATAATAGTTGTAGTAGTGGTAGTGGTAGTAGTAGTACTAGTACTAGTTCGAACACTCGACAACGCCAATTTCTGTGAAGGGTTGCAAGTTTCACCTCAATGCACATCAAAAGTAATAACTTTACCTCGCGTTCGAACACTCGACAACGCCAATCTGTGTGAAGGGTTGCAAAATTCATCTCAATGCACATCAAAAATTGCAACTTTACCTCGCGTTCGAACACTCGACCACGCCAATCCCTGTGAAGGGTTGCAAAATTCATTTCAATGCACATCAAAAATTGCAACTTTGCCTCGCGTTCGAACACTCGACCACGCCAATCCCTGTGAAGGGTTGCAAAATTCATCTCAATGCACATAAAAAATTGCAACTTTACCTCGCGTTCGAACACTCGACCACGCCAATCCCTGTGAAGGGTTGCAAAATTCATTTCAATGCACATCAAAAAATGCAACTTTACCTAGCGTTCGTGCATTCGACCATGCCAATCCCTGTGAAGGGTTGCAAAATGCCAATCCCTGTGAAGGGTTGCAAAATGCAGTTGAGCTGCGCCCAAACCCTGTGAAGGGTTGCGCGGCGCCCGCAAAATGTGTAACTTTACCTCGCGTTTGAACGCCCGAGGAGGCGAATCCCTGTGAAGGGTTGCGCGGCGCCCGCAAGAAGTGTAACTTTACCTCGCGTTTGAACGCCCGAGGAGGCGAATCCCTGGGAAGGGTTGCGCGGGAACCCTAAAATGTGTAACTTTACCTCGCGTTTGAACGCCCGAGAGTTCCAATCCCTGGGAAGGGTTGCGCGGTGCGCCTAAAATGTGTCACTTTACCTAGCGTTTGAACGCCCGAGGCAGCGAATCCCTGGGAAGGGTTGCGCGGTGCGCCTAAAATGTGTCACTTTACCTAGCGTTTGAACGCCCGAGGCAGCGAATCCCTGGGAAGGGTTGCGCCGGGCGCCTAAAATGTGTAACTTTACCTAGCGTTTGGGCGCTCGAGGAGGCGAATCCCTGGGAAGGGTTGCGCCGGGCGCCTAAAATGTGTAACTTTACCTAGCGTTTGGGCGCTCGAGGAGGCGAATCCCTGGGAAGGGTTGCGCGGGAACGCCTAAAATGTGTAACTTTACCTAGCGTTTGGGCGCTCGAGGAGGCGAATCCTTGGGAAGGGTTGCATTCCCGATGGACGACGACGGTGCCACCCCTGGCTTTAGAAGAGAGATTTAGATACCGAGATGTAGAGAGTATGTAGAGAGGTAGAGAGTAAGTCAGAGAGTAAGTCAGAGAGTAAGTCAGAGAGTAAGTCACAGAGTAAATCACAGAGTAAGTCAAGAGTAAGTCACGAGATGTAGAGAGTATGTAGAGAGGTACAGAGTAAGTCAGAGAGTAAGTCAGAGAGTAAGTAAGTCAGAGAGTAAGTCACAGAGTAAGTCACAGAGTAAGTCAAGAGTAAGTCACAGAGTAAGTCACAGAGTAAGTCACAGAGTAAGTCACAAGTAAGTAAGTAAGTATCAAGTGTAGAGTCAAGTATCAAGTGTAGAGTAAAGTATGGAGTCAAGTAAGTTGATTCTATGTCTGTCATCTATGTACTCAACTGCGGCGTTCCACACGGAAGAACCCTTCGCGAAGCTTTCGGGAAAAAACGTTGGCACTGCTCCGACGACTCGCTCGGGCTCGCGCCAGGGACCGAGCACCGTGGGCGCGGGCGGCTGCGGGGGCCGAACTCACGCGACGCTGGACGGCCCTCGCTCGCACGCCCAAAGCCTGCTGGAGCTGCGGGTCCAGCCTTGCGACGCCAGCGACGGCGCCGAGCTGCCGCTCGGCGAGCTCCTGGCGGCGCCGCCGTAGTGCCGTCGTGGCGACCCAGCTGCGGACGGAAAAAGGAGTGTGGGAAAAAAGTAGTAGTAGTAGTAGTAGTAGTAGTAGTAGTAGTAGTAGTAGTAGTAGTAGTAGTAGTAGTAGTAGTAGTAGTAGTAGTAGTAGTAGTAGTAGTAGTGTCGTCGTAGTAGTAGTAGTAGTAGTAGTAGTAGTAGTAGTAGTAGTAGTAGTAGTAGTAGTAGTACTAGTACTAGTAGTAGTAGTAGTAGTAGTAGTAGTAGTAGTAGTAGTAGTAGTAGTAGTAGTAGTAGTAGTAGTAGTAGTAGCAGTAGCAGTAGTAGTAGTAGTAGTAGTGTAGTAGCAGTAGTAATTAGTAGCAGTAGTAGGAGTAGTAGTAGTAGTAGCAGGAATAGTCGTCGTCGTTGTAGTCGTGGTCGTAGTCGTAGTAGCAGTTCGTTTCGGGCGTCGGCGTGTGTCTAATGGGATCAC